GGAATCAGTGTAGACAGCGCCAGTGCCACACAGAGGGAACAAGACAAACGTATAAAAGAGACAAATGTCAGTGGACACTCCATTGCAAGTCAGCCCTCCCCACTACTCCTGCTGAAATGCCATGTGTGAAGTGTAGAGTCAAGAGCACGGGCCAGGCCTCCAGAGCAGAATAATGAGATTACAGCACTCTGAGATGCTGTGGACTCACAGTTCTGAGCCATATAGGCCCACATAAACCTGTCTCGCGCAAAGAGGGTGAATCATCCAGGGGAGGTTTGGTGCAGAGATTAAAATGACTGTCTTTTCTTGTTGGAGTCATATCTTTCTGTCTTTATGACTTTATTTCATCCCTGCCTATCTTGACACTCTTCCTGAGTTTATATGCTGAAGCTGAGCTTGGCTCTGAGAGCTCTGAATGGTGGTTCATTCTTTGTTTCAGGTTTCTTATCGGTATCAAAGCCAGTTAGACAAATTTAGAGATTTAAGATTGTGATTGAGTCTACATTCTTGTTCTTTAAACAATGCCAAGGAAGGACCACTTTTGGTTTGAGAAGAAGGCATGTTTGAAAAAGATATTTGCAAGTGAGAAAAACCTTCACATAATCTAAAGCATCTGTCCCAATTTAACTGTTTGTCCTAGTACGTGGGGGTTCTTTAAAAGTTAAAAAGGTCCTTCAGTAACTTACACTATCCACTGAAAGTTTTCTTTCAGGGAATCAAATGTGGATCTCAGTGGCATCACAAAAATAACCTTTTTTGACACCTATTTTTTTTAAGAGTGCAACTTTTACTGATTCTTTTGACACTTTCTATGGCCTTACTGAACATAGGCAACACCCTAGTACTAGAGCTTTACCTTCCTGCAGAATCTAGCTCCAACCACAATATGTCACACTTGAGTGAACCTCTTCAGATGTCCTTGATTGGCGAGATTAGGTAAGAGGTAGGCTGCATGTTAGATGCACTGTGCACTCATAAGAAATATATCACAGAGACCTTATATGGCATAGAACAGGGATCGGCAACATGCTGCTCTTTCACTGCCCTGTTGCAGCTCCAAGGCAGAATAAATAAAAATAAAATAATTCTCCTTTGTCATAAAATAAAGTTTTGGTGATTGTTCTAACACAGTTTTAATAAATGATCAATAAATGGTCTTAAACAGACTGCTGGTCACCATACCAATGCTTTTATAATCACTCCAGCTGGTTTCCTGATGCGTTAAATCTTCAAAGAGAAACTGCCAAACACCAAAAAGTCACAAGGCTGAAGTCACCTCTCATTCACCACCTTCTTGTTTAAATTGTTCTGTTCCACCTTAAATGGTGCAGCATTTACATTGTCGCACCTTAAGGTAATCTGAACAAGAATCTAGTGAATAAGAAGCTGACTTCAGTCAAACACTGACAGACATTTTACAAGAAACTATTCTACTTTTGCAGAAAAGTTTCCTGCCAGAGATGTGAGAAAAATGGCTATAGCTGAGTTAAAGCTTTAAGCAGAGCAAAGTAAGTCTGTGTTTTCTTTTATGTTATATTTTAGCCTCTATTAGGACATGAACACATAATGAGACATATATACATCCAAGATGGTAAAATGGACATAAAATGTTGTGGCTCCCAAAGTGGTGTGATTTTTGTAAAAGGACAAAATAGCTCGTCTTAACATTTAGGTTGCCAAACCCTGGTATAGAACCTTTGGATGATGTGGAGGTTCATAAGGGGAAAAAGATGTTTCTTATATAGTTTCTTTCCAAAGAACACTTCATTTTAAAATTAAAGATATGAGATTGTGCCACATGTACCATCAATGCCAAGCTCAAAGACCACCAGCTAGTCATCATTTTAATCTTTTCCAGTGCCTAAAACTATTGAAAGCCAATTTCCCAAGCCCTGGTGTGTGAAGAGAACGAAAACATGGACTCTAAATCTCCGATCCAGTGAGTGAAGATATTGAGGGTTACTTCTGAACAGGACTTTTGACTTTGCCTCTTATACAATTAGAACAGTCTTAAGAAACTGAACACAACTACTTAAGCAAAGCAGCAAGGATCTTTAGCTCTGAGATCTCTTTCAGAGGTCAATTGTAAATTCACTCTCAGATTCACCATGTTCGCACCCCTGCACTCCAGTCCGTCTCCCACTCAGGTAGCAGATGAAAGAACCAGGAGCCCCCACGTACACCTTCCAGGCCTCAGTGTCTCGTCCTACAAGGAACATGAATAATTCAAATGCTACGAACGACTAAAAGCGTAACCCCATTCTGCGATTACCCTGCCTTTGCTTTCCAACTGAAGGGGCGAAAAAAAGGAGGAGCAAAAAAAAAGTGAGCATCTGCCTTCCTCTGCTTCTCGCAGGGCCTTTCATATGATCCACTTATCTTATTACATGCTTGAGGTCAGGGCTGTTGTAAGACGGCTGGAAAGCACTTACGGCTCAAAGAGGCAGTCATGCTTATAGTTCATCTTATTTCCATGCAAATAACGCAGAAGGACTTGGACACCAGCTCAAATTCTGCAGGCACACTGCGTGTCTACAGAGAGAGAGAACAGTATTAATGCAATGTAGATGTTTTAAATCTCATTTTTCTCACTTATGGTGGAAGGAACACTCGAAATCAGATGCTTTACTGAGTGTCAGTGGGTGGGGGACCTAGCACATGAAGAATAAACATACACCGATCAGGCATAACATTATGACCACCTCCTTGTGTCGACGCTCATTGTCCATTTTATCAGCTCCACTTACTGTATAGGTGCACTTTGTAGTTCTACAGTTACAGACTGTAGTCCATCTGTTTCTCTGCATACTTTGTTTTTACCCTGCTCTTCAGGACCCTCACAGAGCAGGTACTATTTGGGTGGTGGATCATTCTCAGCACTGCAGTAACACTGACGTGGTGGTGGTGTGTTAGTGTGTGTTGTGCTGGTACGAGTGGATCAGACACAGCAGTGCTGCTGGAGTTTTTAAACACTGTGTCCACTCACTGTCCACTCTATTAGGCACTCCTACCTTGTCAGTCCACCTTGTAGATGTAAAGTCAGAGACGATAGCTCATCTGCCGCTACACAGTTTGTGTTGGTCATCCTCTAGTCCTTCATCAGTGGTCACAGGACGCTGCCCACAGGACGCTGTTGGCTGGATATTTTTGGTTGGTGAACTATTCTCAGTCCAGCAGTGACACTGAGGTGTTTAAAAACTCCACTTTAGGAACCCAGAATTGTGTGGTGCATTTGCATTCCCAGATGCAATGTGGATGCAACGTCGTTGGGGTGGCATGGAGATTTTAGTCCTCATTTGGTGGCCATTGCTTGTCCTGCCCAGCATCCCTGAGCTGCAAACAACACGGCCATAAAAAAAGATGCCAAATGGCTATAAAGATAATTCTACATAAAGCAAGAGAGTTAAATCTCTCCATCTTGCTCGTTTCGAGCCCCTAATCATGGAAGCCTTTGTCGTCTAAAGTTTCTTTGCATAACTGTAGCGGAAGGAAACAGGACTTCATTCACTTTTTTCTGCCAAACTTTTGTCAATGTGCATATAATTTATGAAACATTTGAATTGAGACCCAAGCCTAAGTATGTGAGTGAGGGAGGCAGTTACAACCCCACGTCCATGAGGTGCCTTGCATCTAAAAAATAAATAAAGTTTTCGAAATGTGAACATTATTATATTATATTAATTCTTTCAGTTTTAAAAAAATAATATTTGGTCAGTTTGTAGCTGAGAACCATCCTACAACTCTGCACACACTTTTAACACCCTCACAGTGGACAACAGTTGGTGTAGTGAGTGATTCATCTTGCTACAATAAAAATGCAGTGTTAACTTCATGCATGTCTACTGCAGATATTTTGAAATTTGATTTGAATTTGATTTTTAAATTTGATATATTCATATATATATATATATATATATATATATATATATATTTTATTTTATATATATATTTTCCAGTTAATAAAAAAATGACAGGGTATTTTGCTTGTTTACTCACTATTACTAGGTCTCAATCAAGTTGATGCTTCCAAGGCTTTAGCATCTAAATATCCACATTATATTCTAGGTTTTAAATAAATAGATATCATGTTGCAGGCAGTGATGGATCCATTGGAAACTGTTACCATGGAGAGACAAGGGGCAGATAAATAGACATAGCTGATGAAAGCTAACTGGTGAGGCATGTTTAACTGGTGTCAATTGTCCCAGCATATTTGAGGGGCCCAATTAAGATGTAAAGGGTCCTGAGCCATGTGCCCCAGAGTGACCCCCCCCCCAACTTGGATGTCCAGCACCACTGGCACTGATTATATTTGCCCTATGACTGACAGACCCCAACTCCACTTCTGTAATTATAACTGCATAATTTAGTGGAGAATTATGAAAGAAAAAATCGATATTTGCCAAAAGTCTGTTTGGATTTTAGAAACTTCATAAGTGCTTTTGAGGCCGAGGACCCCACAGAGACGCCAACACGCGGACTGCCTCGGACTGAATGAACCCTTCTTGCTGCTTTCCTCCATTTATATAGCCTTCTAAACATAGCTCGCGCACCAAACTGGCTGGAGCTCCATTTTCACCTCTACGCCAACGACAGTTCGTCCGCCCCTTTTTCTCCCTTATACGGCTACGCACCGGATTTGATTGGCAGCCCTGAACGCACCACGCCCCCCTCCCTCTCTTCGCGAGTCGAGCCCTCGCGCCGCGTCCGTCACCCGCGCGCGCGCTTCGAAAACGCTGGTGCAGGTGAAGGACCAAAAGGGGAAAAAATATCCGGATTGTGGAGCGGATGTAGTTTGAGAGTCTGAGCTGAGAGAGCAGGGCACGCGCGACATCTCAGCCGGGTCTGCACGCGCGCGACGGTCGTTGGCTGTTGGCGGCACGCGCCGCGTTCTCTCCTCACTTTTATTAACGGACTTTTTCCCCCCTGCAGCGTTTCGGCCGTTACGGTTTTATTTCTTTTTCATCAGCTTCTTATTTTCTGTTATCTTTTTAAATGGCGCGATTTTTAAAACTGAGGTGAACGCTCTCGCGGGCGTTCTGAGGGAAAGCGCGAGCCGTTTTAACCGTTAAAGCAGACTCTCTCTCTCTCTCCCTCTCTCTCGCTGTTTCTCGCTGTCTCTCTCTCACCATGGACGTTCTGGCGAACTACAGTATTTTCCAGGAGCTCCAGCTGGTCCACGACACCGGCTACTTCTCCGCAATGCCGTCTCTGGAGGAGAACTGGCAGCAGGTGAGCGCGGCTTTACGCCTTTCTTCTGTTTTTGCTGGAGTTTTTAGCGTTTGTTTTTTTTTTTCCCCGTCGAACTTTTCCTCATCCCGCGGTAGCCTTGTTTCTGTTTTTCACACCCGTTTTCGGTCAAAACCCCGCCCTCCTGCGCTGGGATCGGCTGATAGGCGTTCCGTCGAGAGGCGATCTCCGCTTCGAGGGCGCGTGTGAGCACGAACTAGTGGCCAATCGGAGCGCAGTAGGGCGGGGCTTGACGGAAAACGGGTGGGGAAAACATCTCACTGCGGTCCAGTCAGTATAAACTTGAAGAAATACAGAGAAATTATACCGTTTTTCTTATTTCATGTTTGTTTTTGAGGACAAAATTGCAACATTTTAGCTATTTGACGTTTTCCACAGCGATGTAGACGCTAATAATAATAATAATAATAATAATAATAATAATGATACACTAACGATGGCCTCCTTGTTTTCACTATATCTTCATCTGTGGGGCTACTTGACGTGTGCAGACCCTCGTGACAGCATACAGGCGCGCGACTGGGATATGTGTTGTAAATGCAAGCGCGTGAGGAAGTGGTTGTTTGTGTGCGCGTGCTATGTGGAGGTCGAGCACTGCTGACAGAAGTTGGGACAGTGTATCATGTGCAGAACGACTCTGTTTGTGCACAGAAACCCGTGCAGTTTAGAACCGTACTGCACGCGCCATGCAGGGACGCGCGAGTGTCTGACTGATGGTCTGATGGGGCATATATGAGAATACATGTTGCCAGCAAGAAATAGCATTAGAGTGTCTAGTAGAGTGGAAGATGTGGGTCAGTATGTGTGGGTCACTATGGGTCGCATATGGATATATGTGTGCTGCATATATGTGTGGGCTGCACATACAGTATTGCACAGAAGTCAGAGACCACCCTTCATTTCAGTTTCTAGCGAAATCAGTCTTTAAGTACAAAATATTCATTCTTCAGTGTCAGGAAAAACAGCGCGAAATATACATTTAACAGAAAATTACACAGAAGCCTCAACGGCTAAATATGATATCAGATTATTCGGTATTTATTGTGTCACTCTTTACCTTCATTACAGCGTCCATTCTTTTCAGGAGGTTCACTTTCAGTTCCTCAAAGAAATCTGCAGACACACCTCCAAAGTTCAGTCTTAGAAGCTGGTTGATCATTTTCTGAAGTAGTCAAACACATTCACTGGTGTTGAGGTCTGGACTCTGGGGTGGTCAGTCCATTGTTCAGCTTCTTTGTTTGATGTGTCCGTCTCCTTTTCTCAGTGAGGTTCTTCTTGAACAGCTACACATCCTTTCAGACCCATAGCGCTGAGCCGTCTTCTCACAGTGGAAGGATGGACAGAAACACCTGTGGACGTTTTCAGATCTGAAGCAGCTTGATTTCCTCCTCTCTCTCAAAGATGAAAGCTGTAAATGATGTTAACAGTTTTGGTGTCTACCAGGTCTTCCAGGTGGTTGTTAGGAGCCCCATTTTCGGTGTAGCTTTCTAACTCCAGCTTCAGAAACATCTGTTTTTCCACTTATTTATCATTGACTCTCTCCTTCCTCATGCAGATGGATCATCTTATATCTAATGTCCTCAGAAATATCTCCTAATACATTAACTTGTACTTAATGGCCATTTTTGAGTGGAAATACATTCAGTGTATTGGTGCTTGACGCAGAGACACTTTGCCTCGTGACCGAGTGAGCGAAGAGGAGATGTTGTAAGACAGATATTTGACCTCAGCATCCTTCTTGCATCCTTGTTCTTCTCTAAGCCCTGTTACTGAAGCACAATCTAGGGTGGAGAGTATAGCTTGCAAAAGTGGTACAAAACTAAATGCACTTGAAGAGGATTTCCACTGATTTTTCAAAATCTCTCTATAATTCAATGGTTGAGATGTAAACAAAGTCATTCAGAGTGGCTTGATGTGAAACGGTTCATTGCAGGGTAACATCACTCTTCACTCTAAAGACAGTTTCTTTACAATGAGTGTGTTTACATGCCCTCAGTAATCCCATCGTAATCCAATTTCTGCAGTTATCTGAATGTACAAGTGGTCATGTAAACAATAAACTCTGATTTCTTAGATCAAAGTAAGGTCTAGAAATCTGATATAAAAAGCCAAGAGAGCTGGGTTTTAGCTCAGTAATCAGATTTCTCAGTGCATGTGAACTCTTACTCTGATTTCTTTCAGATTTCTCCGTCTGTGCATGAGCGAAAACAGACGGCGGTACTAGAAATAAGCAAGCGGCATTGCTGCTAGATGCAACAAAACGCTTTTGGAGCGATGCTGAAACCAACTACATTCTTGATGAAATGACGGATTTGAATATATTTGAATATTCTTCATCTTCTACATGATGTATGTTCATATTTTCAGGTAAAGCGACGCCACATTCTAAAAAAAATTGCGGCTTTAAGTTTTAAGAGTTTTACATTACATTTCCATCATGTCTTCTGTGGGTTTTTTGGCTGGTTGCAGTGCAGAAATCTGATTACTGACTCATGTAGACCCAGTTATCTGATTATCCACATGCATGTAAATGCGTTGATCGGATTACTGACAAAATCTGATTTTCTGCAATTATCGGATTATTAAGTGCATGTAAACGCACTCAGTGGTGATGATAGGAACCAGGAGTCGTGATGTCTACAACAGAAATTCAGCCATTTTCTTTACTATGCAAAGCAGTGAACCTACACATGTCTAAGTTATTAAATGTAATGTTAGTAGTAGTACGATGATCAGAAAAATAAGCTTTCATTGGGTACTATTTGGCCTTACAGCACCTCACACGTATCCATCCACCATGAATATATTTAAAAAAATATGTATTAGGTCTGAACTTTATCTAAAAACAATGTAATTTATAAACATTTCATGCAACAACTTTCTTTGAGGGAGCTTTTGAAGGCATTAAATGCTTCAGACGTTAGGTTCTTATCACCATCACTGTAAACAAATATCACACTTCACATGAAACCACTCTGAATGACATTGTTTACATCTTACTGGTTTAAATATGCAAAAAAAAAGAAAGCATCAGTAAAATTCCCCTTTAAAGTCTTGAGATACATAATATGACTGATTGTTGTGGTTACATTGCCTGAGGATGGATCAGTGATCATTATATTGACTTCAGTGATGATGCATATCCACTTATGTGCAAACACATACAGGCATTTGTGTATAGATTCCAGTGGAATGGCAAAATACACTTTACCCCATTGAGTTGCTGATGACAATGAAATGGGTCACAACAGTGATATTACAACTACAGTATCACTAGTCATCTTGATAGGTTTAAGACGAAATATGGGTCACCGATGATTCCACTGATGATTTTTATGTTAGAGACAAATATATAAATAAATACCTTCCGTGCAGAGCTCTCAGGATGTGTGCTTCAGTTCACCAGACATCAAAAGCCACTCAGTCATAGTCACAACTGAACCCAAAAATAAAAAGCTCACCTTGAAGTGACAGTCAGTGCGACATGTCTGGTCCTGTACAGAAGGTTAAGAAGTGTGATATTGGGACAGAAAATAGTGCTCTTCTTCTTTATCCCGCCTGAGCCAAGACCTGCTCAGGAGCTCGTGGGACTCTGCGGCGCATTGGACTATTTTGGGCCGCTTTTGTCTCTCTGCGTCTATTTCTGGGACTTGAGGGAAACTTGAAACATCTTTTGTTCTCACTGCATCCATTTCGAACTGTCTCGATATTTTTGGATCTAGAGATGCGAGCGGCAGCAGCTGCAGCACTGCGCTTGTGGAGACGTGTGAGGACCAGAGAGGTTTTTTAGAAGATGCTTTGCTCTCCCTCTCCTCATCAGCGCCACTCAAGGGGGGGCTGTGGATCGGAGCTTGGGCCTGCTGCGCCGTGAACTCTCTGACACTCTCCACCAGCAGCGAGGATGCAGAGAAGATGAGGAAGCGGGCGTAGTGGTGATTTTACTCGTCTTACGTTGGAGTTATGATTGGAAAAAAAGATTCCTCAACCTGAATTCATGAAAACTGGCCATAGCTATTATGAGGAGTTATGGAGATTGGTGGGATTTTGTACAAATGAAGTTATAATAAAAGCTTTGCTGGCTAAACTTGACATTATCCCTGAGCTTATTCATTCATAGTTTTGTAAAACCTCTTAGAAACTTGCGAGGAACAAGGAACATCCTACACAAGCGGTCATCAAACAAATTTGACCTGGGGTTGAATTCTCTCAGTGCACCGACTTTACTTGATTCAAATGTGTACGTCAGTTACACGTGAATAAAACATATTCCAACCCAATTCTTCCCAAAAGTAAGTAAACTGGAAAACTAAGCAGTGTTTATGTAGTTTATTTTATTCATGAGGAAATGACATACGCATTTTGATCAAGTAAATTCAACAGTTTTTTTTTCCCAGTGTACTGTGTTCAGCCCTCATTTAGATCTTCGTATTCGATCCACCATACACTTTTGCCCTGTGGCTACAATATTGAACAGCCCTTGTAACTGATCTGGTAATGACTCTCCAATGTTTGTAGCGATTAGCCCAGGGCTAGCGCAGCTCTTTGTGTGTTTTACAGAGGCAACTGCTCCAAAGAACAGGGCCCACATCTATCAAGTTTCTCAAGGAAAGAGTACAGATCTCGGATCAGAGCATTTCCTTTAGATGGTTGTGTTCTTTAGGATGTTAGACATGAATTCCATTGATTTTTCAAAGTTTCAGCATTATCAAATCATTATGCTGTCAGAAAAAAGGTACTGCGCAGGAATATTTTTTTCATCAATGTACCCTCAAAGGTACAATGGTTTTAAGACCCAACCGTGTACCTTAGCCCTTTAAAATCCCAGGCTTATTACAAACTAAGGCTTATTGTTCAGTAACTACAGGGACTTCATGTAAACTGGCTGGGCTATTTTTGTGTTATAGAAATGTGGGCTTTTAAAGGGGTTAAATGGGTTTTTTTTCCCAGGGAAAAAAGTATTTGTTTGTTGTATACTTTAAAAC